ATATATATATATATATATATATATATATATATATATATATATATATAATTGTTTTCTGTGTATGTATTTTGTCAACATATCCTTTTACTTTTTTAGTGACTTAAGGCAAGCAGACTGCATGCATTCAGTTTGGAATCCTGATGGCACATGATTGTGGTGTAGAGTTGTATTTCCCTGTGATTGTGAATCGTATTGGTACAGTGTACATCAGATTTGTGCTGTCGTGTTGAGAGCATCGCAACATATATCTGTAGTGGCTTATGTAAGAAGTGACGGAGGAACCAGTCAGACAAATTCATCCTTGAATTTGTTCAGACAATCACGGCAACCGACAAACCCATTGTTCTCAGCGCTCCAGCTGTTGTTTCTCAAAATGGTTTTAGATCATTTGTTTGAAACGTGGCACTCTGGGTGGCTCAGAGTTAAGTTCTTCTCATAGTTAGTCTAAGGCAGCACTCCACTGCCAACACAGTCACGAACAGGAGAAAGATACAATCGTTAATAATGATGCACATCATCATTCTCTTGATGCGAATCATATTCTGGACACGTTTTTTAACCTCACAATCATATCTTGCAGACGTAAGGCTGCATCTGATCAATGCAGTGATAGAAAATAGTTCACGAGCTGCCCAGTCTGAGTCGTGAGTTATCAGCCCAACGAGGATTCAATTAACTTCATGAAACTGATACCAAATCTTAAGATCAAACCAGCAACGTGTTTTGTACCGATTTGTTTTTATCGATTAATCAACGAATCATTTTTTTGCGCTGGAGGAAACTGACAAACAATCGAACTTTGATTCAATCCTGATTTTGTCTTTTTGTCCACCGTTTTGAACAATGAAGTGTTGAAAAGAGACAAAAGAAACTTGAATTTATTTTAACAACAAAAGAACATTTTAATGCTGATAATACAGGGTTAACCGTGTACTTTTCTTTCGCCTGTGGAAATGAGTTTTTTTGTCTTTGGTCCGTCATATATTTCTAACATCTTGTGTATTTAACAATATATTTTTCTAGGAAAATGTTTTTGTATCTTTTTTTGTTTTTAAACGCTGATTTAATGTGTTGGTTCTTTGACTTGCTCCCTTTACTGACTGTATGTGGTTGTAGCTGCTGCTAAGCCGCCACTTGTTGATAGCTTAACGCAGTGTTGCTGAAGTGACTTGTGTGTGTAATGTCTCACAGAGCTGCAGCTGGCACCGACTATGTCCACATGCAGGTTGTAAGTGAATGGACTGCCTAAAGTTTATCAAAAGTTGTTTTTTGTTTGGACAAGGTTGGAGGGGGAATGACTCTGGACCAAATTTCAACAAAATGTAATAACAGCATAAAGTTATTGTTGTAAAAGCTTGCATGTCAACTCCATTGCTAGTTTGAATAAGCACCAGTTAACTAGCGGTTGATGTATTTTGGCTGTGTGCTCATTTTCATATGAAGGTGAACATTGTTTTGGGGTTTAAATTTCATTTGCTTTGTCGCTGAGTTATGGTTTTTATCTGCTTTCAAAAAAGGGATTTTTTTTTTTTTTTTTTCCATTTGATTTCCCATGTCTCTAAAATAAAAACAGTCCCTGTCAAAATGTGGAAACGCCTGCAGTGGCCAGGAAGTAATTGACTTATTTACAGAAACAAGAAATCCAGGTTTATGCAAGAACAAAAATTGATTTCAGAGTCTGTACATCAAGTTTACTCTCAAAGCATGCAACAATATTATATGTTTCTTTTCAAATACAGGAGTGAAAATTGCAAAAGAATCTTTTCTTTCTCCCAATCAACTTACATCTGCTCTGTAGAGAGGCGTAGCTCAGAGCACGAAGACTTCATGACACGTTGTTCTGAAAGCTTCTACCTGTCCGGCCGATCCTCACGTCTCCAGCTCATTTCTTCTGAATGTCTCCATACTGCTTCGATACAATGTCTGTTATTTTTATACACATTAAATAATTTTATTTTACATAAAGTGGTCTTTTCTGTGTCCATTTGAAACAATTTACAGCAACAACACTTTGCCAATGCTTGAATTTTAAACTCCACAATTTTTATATTTCACGAGACAGGCCGCTTTATGAAAAGCGTGCGCTTTGTTGTGATGGATTCTCTGCTGCATGACAATGAAGTTAGTCTCTGTGGAGGAATGCTAAAAATGATCTCATATGTAGTAATAAAGGAAAACTGATGTCATTATTCAAGTTAAAAAAAAACAATCCGTAACATTTGGTCAGTCATAATGCAGCGTGCAGTGACTTTTCATTCCTGCTTTCTCTGAATTCCTCCAACATAAACGCATTCAGAGTTACACTCATCTGTTTTGAAAATGAGTGATTCAAAGATGTAGAAATGACTTTTCTTCAGCAACTGCTTTGAAATGAACCTGCTGCACTTCAAAGTAAAATATCTGTGCACGCTGAATCTCAATGTATAGGAATATAAGCAACATTTTCCAGGTTTTATTGAAATTCAATAACCAGCTGTGACAATATTGGCCCGTAATCTTGAAGCTTTGTGTGGAATTAATTATACTTTGAACTATAATTATTGTAAGCAGTAGTGGTTGGAGGGAAAAAGCTTGTCAATGTCTTTGTTCCCAGTTTTGGCTCTAGTGCAGGCTGATTGATTTTATTTATTGGATCTAGAAGACAAAACGAGTGATAACATGTTAAGTGTAAACATTTGCAACATGGTCCCCGACGTCGTACAACATGCACGTAAAATAACAGAAATGAAAAACTACAGAAAGCAACTTCAAAACCTCTACATCTACTAAAACATTGACAAAACCAATCAGTGCTTGAATAGTAGCAATACAAGCACATTGTCTGCTTTACACTAACTTTGAAATTCTTTTTGCAAATAGGCTACCCATGTCAGACCATTTAATACTAAAAGCCTTTGTGTGTTGTTCGCTTAATGCCGTAATTGAAGTACTGCACCCAATTTTCAATCACCTGCACCCAGAATGCACCTGTGACAGCAAATGTCACTGATTACATCACTTAGAAATCAGAGCTTGGATGCTGGTTTGCTCTTTGGTGTTGACAACAATCAGGGTCCTGTGAGGAGCAACTGGCAGCTATATGGTTCTGGCTGAGGTGTGTGTGACACAACACAGAAAGGTGACTGAACGTCGACGGCTCCAGAAGAGGTGAGCGTATAGGTGATGCGGTAGCATCAGTTACATCAGAACTGGAGAGTATCTCATCGTTGGAAGAAGAGCAAAGAACGGCACTGAATGCTTCTCTCCATGGAAAAGATGTTTTTGCTGTTCTGCAGATTTGCTTCGATAAGAGTTTGATTAACAGATGGTTCATCCAATCATCATTTTTGAAAGTGCCTTTTCCAGGTTAACGTTGTCCAACACAAACATACTCTTCGTCCCGCATTTCGTTAGTTGATCTGCTCACTCTACAGCAGACTATTAAGTCTTGTTTAATGATTTAAAGCTGAAAAGAAGCTCAGACAAATATGAAGAGACATCTGCCGTAAGGCTCAACAGCACACAACATATTCCAGAAATAGAGCTTGTTTTGTCTATACTTGTCTCCTTTGATACAAATGAGTTTCTGATGTCGGTGTTTTTTTGATTCGCTGAGTTCACATGACCTCAAAATACATAACAAGTCATGTTTTTTTATGTCTCAAATTGATTGACAGAGGTTTTGAAAAGGAGTAACTCAACAGGACAGAGGGTGGGGTTTGTTGGTGTTGGAGATGGAGATAAAACATCAGCACAGTATGTGCAGGCTTAAGCGGGCCCCCTACAGCTTGTTTGACATCTGTGAATTGAAGTGTTGTGGATGGAAGGGATCAAAGCTCCAATATCCACACCTCACCTTACTTTGTCTATTGGCATTTCATTTCATTTAATCCCATTTAAATTTATTTTGTTTTCCGCCTCGTACTCTCTGAAACGTTGTTTTAATACATTGTCATGCCTAATGCGATGACTTTCAGTCTCTTCTTTATTTAAAGAGGTGCCGCACAAATAAACCTTCCTCATAAACTGAGTCTTTCCTTCAGGGAGACTCCTGGTTGAGGTCCAACCCAACCATAATGTTATTACACGGAGCCTCTTTCTTCCTGTGGCGTTTCCTGCCTCCTGTCTAAAAGGAACATTTCAACATTTTGGAAAAATATGCCTATTCACTTTCTTAACAAGAGTTGAATGCGCAGACTGATACCACTTTCCACGTCTGTGTAGTTAAGTATGAAGCTAGGCTGCAATTAGCAGCTGTGCTAGCATTAAGACTGGAAACGGGGATAAACAGCTAGCCAGGGAACACAGTTATGAAAGTCTCTATGACAGGAAAATATTGCAAATGTAGTCTGATACCACAGCATGAGATGTCGTCATGTTACAAGAGTACAAAGCTCTGTCTGTGAAGGAAAACAGACGCTTAAAAATGTACAGAAGAAGATTAATGAAGCCTACTGAGGCGTGCTGGTTTTGATCCCTGAAACATGCAGTGCTCACTGTGTACCGATGCATGTGCTTCTACTGCTTGTTCATGAACTTCCTGTCCCCTGTTCCCTGCAGCTACCTGACTTAAAGGGTCAACAAATCACAGCCAAACCTATACTTTCCCTCCTACCTATAGAAGGGAATGCAGGTATTTTATGTGGGCAGGTTTTGAGACACCTGCCAGTGGATCTTCTGCCTCTACCCAAAACAAATGAAGGTAAGATCTTGTTTGTGTCACATTAAATACAAATAGAGATGTAAACCTCAGTGGAGCCCTGCTGTTGCTGCCTTGAGATCATCATCTTCACAGCACTCTGGCAACATCACAGTCCTCCTTTACTTTCATACTGTGCCCGCTGACCCTCTTCATCCTATAGGACTGCTGTGTCAGTCCGTAGAGTCTCAGCACTGCTTTGACTCCCTCTGGTTTTCTCTGTTTAAATTTGAAGCTAAGCTCCATGTCCTCCTTTATCCGTTACTGAAAGTCAGTTGAGATGAGATGAATGTGGCCAACTGGTTGAGTCTTTCTTGTAAAGTATGTGGCGGTACTGATTCCCCAGAGTTCACAGGCAGGGAAGAGGCCTGAGAACCTGTACCTCACAACAGAATACAGAAACAATTAGAAACGCATCTCACAGGGGTCTTCCCAACGAAAATGCCTCTATGATAATGAGGGAATGTGTATGAAGGGGCTTTCAATGAAAATAAACCAACAAAAGAAAAATAAAGCCTGCAGGTTATTGTTAGTCAAACACAGAGTCTGCACTGTCTCCACAGAGTCTGCACGGTCTGCCCTGATGCAGGTAACCGAGAGGAAAGGTGTTCTTTAATATTCACACCAGTTTGGTTTCAGAATGCTTTAAATCATCCTCAATCAGAAAAGTTGAGACAGCAGAGAAGTCTGTTAACAGGCCTAAAGACCAGCGTTCCTGGCTGTCAACATCTGCTGAAATGAGTTCTGTATTAAGTTAATGAAGGATCAGAATATCCTGAGGGTTTGGCTCCCATCTTAAGGCCTAAAGAAAGGGCGTCGTCACACCTGCTTGGCCAAGAGGGGAAACGCACCAAGCTGCTCTCAATAGTTAATTAGGAGCTATTCCTCACACAGTGCACAGCAGGTGATCTCAATAACCCTCCAATCAACTCAAGGGAGTTCAGCTAAAATTAAACTTAAATGTCAGATGTGACAGAGTTTAAATCGTGTGGCCATGGTTCTCTGGCTCTGCTCCTTAGTTTGATTCCACTGTGGGATCATTACACTTGAAATGTACAGATTATTGTCAATTACTGTGTAGATCTCACTGATATGACTAAATTGCTCATCATCTGGAAGTCAAGACCTCTGCATTTTACGGAGGAAAAGTACCCTGTAATCCCCACAGAGCTGGCTCCCTGTCAGTCCTTGTTTTCCCCAACATCTTGCTGCCAGACCTACCTCCGATTCCTCAGGCTTTGCCATGTACTGTTTTGTGCCTCATGTGCTTCCACATAAACATGAAGCAAACTGGGCCGCAGAAAACACATCAAACAAACAGGTGTTGATATATTGTTACATTATTAGCAGTGCAATCAATCAAACATGTTCTGTCCAGAGTTGTATGAAGATGTTCTGGTGTATAATATTGGTTTGTATGATTTAGAGAGATGGCACATGTGTGTTAACACAACACTGCATCCAAATGTAGTGAAACGTGAGCTACTGCCTGGCTCGTGCACAATTTTCCGAATCGGAAATGGTTTATTGCCAAGTACGTTACACATACGTTACGCTCGGTGATCGGTGCGTGACAATAAACATAGTAAAAGACGTAATTTAAAAATAGAAAATATGAAAATGTACAATAAATAAACAAACAAATTAGTAACAGAGCCAATTCAATTGTTCAGTTTTCTTATTCTTGTATTTTATACCCATATTATTCTATTTTTTCTAGATTGTATTTGAATGTCCTTTTATAATGTGTCTCCTTTACACTTCATCTCAATGCTTTTGATGTTTCATGTAAAGTGCTTTGAATTGCCTCGTTGGTGAAATGTGCTAAATAAATAAACTTGTCTTGCCTAAATTTGATGCTGTTAACATCACTTTGAGTTGAAGTCAACCAAACATTAATTCCAGGCGTATATAATGAAAGTCATTCAATAATTGACTTCGGTGGGACTTTGGTGCAGCGAAGATATAGTTCAACGCCAAGACTATCCGTCTGATCACCGAAGTGGATGATCTTGTCGTTAACGGTTTCTTGATTGTCAACAAATTTAGGCAACCGGACAGCCAGCTGAATCCATGATAAGTGTGACGGTAAATTTTGTGTTTGTGATCAAAACTAATTTTTCTCTGACTAAAACGTCAACAAGCTCTTTATACACCTACTTTCATTTTATCTACAGTACCACATATGATGACTTAAAGAACCAAGACCAATCTGTTGTTTTAGTTTATTTATTTAATCAATTTAACCTGTAAAAATAAAACATTTTTAGATCCAACTTTAGTTACACTTGCCTCATTTCAGTTTAGTGGCAGCACAGTCAGCCACTGAGTGCTATGCTAATTTAAATATACTTTAAATGATACATTTAATTTATGTTCACGAGGTTTACATTCTTGTAAATGGTTTAAATGATGTTTGCGAAAGTTAAAGTTTGAGTTATAGGATGTACAACCTCTTATGCAGTCGACACATTTATATTATATAACATTTCATATACACACAAACAACTTAAGATATTTATGTTTTTGAGCAAAATGCATTAAGATATGTTATAATATTTGCAAACAAATGAAACGTCCATCTTTGGACTTTTGGAAAACAAAATCTGCATTCAGACCAACAGATGTTTCTTTTACTGTTCCTCCAGTCCTCAACAACATCAACAAGGATAACAAAACATCTGTTTATCCCTTTCCGCATTCATGTTATGGTGATGTTTGGTGATGCTCAGACAGAGTTGCTGTGGACCCTGTAAGGCGACAGGCTGGTCAGGGGGGCGAAGGGAGGAGGGTTGGACTCGGTGTGAGGAGTCGACGATGAAGGGAAACTCTGTGAGGCAGCTGTCCCTTCTGCTGGAGGGAAATACATCGTGGCTCCCTGGATGAGGAGGAAAGGACAAAGGAAACAAAGAAAGACGTTGACCACAGACCTCAAGTCAGACGTCTTTGAGTTAACTAAAAACTGCAATTTGCGATAATTCATAACAACTGTAACTAGTGATTTCTCCGACAAAAAGCTAAGTTAAAACATAGTCCTTATGTTTGCCACTAATCAAACATGAATGGATGAATTTATCTATTTCTTATAATTTGCCTATAATTTAAAAAAACTCCTGACTCAACAAGTTCACAAGCTTTTTAGCAACAGCACAACGGTCTTTTTACACAATTTCATTTTGTGGAAAAATGCTGATATCACCCCCCCCCCACCCCCCCGAATTACTGTAAAGGCAAACAAAAGTTTTAACTTCCATTCATTGTGTCTCACCTAAACAAAATAGTAGAGCGGCGGCCATTTTTATGTGTACTGTTGGAGGTTTGGGTCATTTGCGACTGTAAGACGGCTAGACTTGTGAAGACAGAGAGATCAAAAGTGGAAACAAACTAGACCACACATGCGTGTGTTTGTAACAATATCATTTGCTGGTGTGTGTGTCTGTGTGTGTGTTGACCCACACTGACCGGGTGGAGCTGGTGAACTATGTGTGTGTTGGCGTCTGTCAGCAGAGGAGCTGTCGGAGAAGATGCTGTGCTCTCAGAGGGATCGATCACTGGGCTGATACTCCTCTGACACACACACACACACACACACACACACAATGTTATTAAAAGTAGGCTGCAATGTGCTCTGGTGTACAATAAAATAAAATTAAACAGCCATTACAGATTAAATGATAAAGATGATTCAGAGCTAGGAGCAGTCTCTGATTACATCATTGTTTTGGTCAAGATCATGGAGAGTCTGCACCCACTGAACAAATCTCTATTGGTCCTGTATAGTGATGCTTTGTCCTATCGTAGAGCATATAGCCTCCATAGTGATAATAACAAAGAAACAACATACAACCAAAGCAACATGTAGTGAAGTACATCACAAATGGCACATATTGCACAAAATACACAACCTGTGATAAGAACAAGCGACACATTGCACGACCCTTCATCACAAACGAACCACGGAACAGGTCCTAGTGACATTTAAACATACTATTAGGTGCACTTGTCACTCACTGGTGCACAGTGAGTGACAAGCAGTCGTATTGGCTCACAGCACACATTCTTCCCTTCAAAACCTTTTGATACATTTGTCCCTCAGGGTTGTTCTAATCTCTATGTGGGTGGTATGTCTGTTAAATCCAATGCTGAAAATCTATACATTTTAGTTTCCCTGTCTTTGATATAATATATTGTACAAAGATAGGGGGGGAAAGCACATAAAACATCTGCAATCTGTAAATATTATTAATGTAAAGAAACATAATCATCTCATAGGTATGTAACAAGCGATCAATTTGTCTAATCTGCAGATCTTGACTGATATTAAGCCTTGCACAGCACAGGAAAATGTATTGACTGGGGTTGTTTCTCAAAGCAGATTTTTAAGCACGCTACATCCACGAATCCCAACATAGGACTTTATTCAATGTCGAGGATCCTTCATATTCTACCGAGGACGGAGTTCTTCTTTCAGAGGATTTTCAAGGATGCATGTGTGTCTCATCAGCGCAATTATATGCGTGAAATGCCTTTCCCGTCCAATGATTTGGAAACAAGGAAAATACACAAACAGAATTTCTGTTATTTCAGCTCAGCAGTCCCCCAAAATATATTTCTGATATGTTTTTAATTAGTTTATATTATTTTGAGGAATACAAAAACATTCCTACTAGAATGCTAGGAAGGAGTCTTGACTGTAGGACCTGACTTGGAAGAACGCGTCCTACCAAGGAAGCATCCTTGATTTTGAGAAACACTCAGTATGTAAACACCATACACAGAAAAAGTAAAGGATGTGGAATGTGGGAGAGATATTAAGTGATCAATGATGAACTTAATCATATTAGATTTGAAAACATGAGAAATAAAATCTCAATACATTCCTTCAAAGATAACTATGACCAGATAATGTTATTTACAAGAAGAATACTTTGTGCCTGATAAAATAGAATAACAGTAGTTTTGGCAGAATGCAGTGATGGATGACAGCAGAATCGAAGTGCCGTGTGGTCTATTAGCTATAAACTGCTGCAGCATTCGTATCCCTAAGGACCGATAAGCTGAATCTCTGACAACGTATAAAAACATTCTCTGGTGTTTCAGTATAGGCAGGGTTGGTGGAGGCAACTTTCAATGTGCACCACCCGCCAGTGGGACGAACGCAGCTGCTCTGGGGATTTGAGGTTGAGATGGGTTTGGTGTCAACCTGGCTGGAACTTGGCAAGACGGATCAAGCAGTCAACTATAGGGCTGCAACTTACAATTCATTTCATAATCAAAGTTTTTCCTCGATTAATCGTTCAGTCTTTTAAATGTTAGAAAATAGTCCCAAAATACCATCACATTTTACCATCACAAAGCCCAATGTGTTGTCTTTAAATTGCTTGATTTTTCTATATTTACTTCACTGACATAGAAGGATGAGAAAAACAGCAAATATTCATATTGAGAAGCAACTGAGAGTTTTTGGCAACATTGCTTTAAAAATGATTTGAATGATTAATGGATTTTCTCTTCCCTCTGTTCTCTGACACCCAGACTGCTTTACATATTATTTGGAAGAAGCCGTAAACAGAGACAGTGACCCTTTCAATAGTATGTATGTATTACCAGATTTAATTTTTAGAGTAATTGCCTCAAAACTGTCTTAATTGATCATTTGAAATCAAACACCACATATCTCATAGAGTGGAAAGCTCCGTTTTCCTCTGTTTCACCTCTTTTCTCCATCTGTTATCTGAGTAATAACATTCAAGCTAAGCTCTTAGCTGATACTAAATACACAGTAAAGTAGCCTGGAACCCCCTGCTACCAAATATGTGATTTACTATCTACGATCTACTAAATGGCTCACTATGCTAAAAGATGCAGTCAGATTAGGGTGAAGCAATTGTTTTTTTTTACAGATAAATAAAGTTGAGGGATATGCTGTAAACCTGAATACTGAAAGTAAAAGCTCTTATATTGCTGTGTCTCCACCTCTGAACTCTGAACTCCAGGCCTCTCAAGAACCCATTTCATCAGCTCATGCTTTAAGTTAAGTGGTTGGATGGTATCAATCTTCACTGCCATGGCAGAGTTTGAGCATTTGATCCATTTGCCATTTGTCTGTCACTTCTAAATCTAATCCTCGGTTCACACCGTGCAGAGTTCACTCTGACTGACAGTTGATCTGTGAGTTCTCATTCAGGAAGTATTAATTGTTGCCTTTTCTTACTTCTAAATCTGTCATGTGAAAGACAACAACATTGCAGAACAGGAAGGATGCTGCATAGAGGAAATAAGCCCTCACCAATTCTGGAGTGACCTCAGCATAAAGCTGCGTTCAGGCTAAACTGCAAAGTGAAAATCAACACGATCACATATGAAACAGATTCTGTCTTGTCTTCTGCTCAAGTTTGTTTGTGCAGCGTAAAAGTTTAACCATATACTTTTATGCAGATAAAGTCCCCTTTGCCTCAGAGCCTCTGAGTGGGAGTTATTTGCTGTTAATCAAGTACCAAATGTAGCCCGTCCACACAATATCGGACCTTTATAAATTTGTGTCTGAGTCTGTGGGTCTCACCAGGTCTTTGATGCTGCCCAGCACCGCTGTAGTGAGGATGCCTATGAAGAAGGCCACGAGGTTCAATCCGGCGAGGGTCCAAATTAAAATGTACAGAGTGAAAACTTCCTCGCAGCTTTGTACTCCAACAAACTCGTAGTAGTTGCTGAGGTAGCCTCCGCTGCAGAACAAAACAACAGCTCCGTTGAGTACTGATGATTTTTAATTTGTTGGGCAGGAACATTAATTAAAGACAAGACAACTCTTGTGATGACACGGCAGTGGTAACAATATACTGGGACAATATCGTTGTAATGTCATTGTCTCACTTGGCGCAGTCGTACAGGTCGCAGCAGTAGCAGGTCCCACTTCTTACTGTCATGTTACAAGACTCCTTCGGACTCCAACACGACACCTGAAAGAGATACGCAAGTTCAAAATGTGTCACTGTTTACCTGCAAATACAGACAAGCAGACAAGCCTCGACACACTTTTCCTTGGAGACATATTAACATTTCTTTTTACAATTAACACTGAAGGCACTTGCAAATGACAAGGTAGTAAAACATGTAAAATTATATGTTTTTCCTTTTAGAAAACGAACCAAAACCTTGACATGACGAAGATCTTGAGTAGATAATAATGAGAATAAATTTAAATCATACCCTCTAAACAAGATGTTTAGTCAATGCTGATCGATAGAGGAAACCATACAGGGCATCTTTGGATGGATGAGAAAAACGAAACTCAATGGAAAGGCTATTGACTGTTCCAGGACAGCACATCTTTACTCACAGAGGTGTAGAAGTTCTCATAGATGTAGCTGCCTCCGCTGCTGTAATACTGGCATCTCTGTGCTTTCAGTGGACGCATGTCCTGGCAAAAAAGTTAATATATGAAGAAATATAACCCACAGGATGTCAAACCAACACCAATCCATCTTTATTGAGGATAAAAACAAGATATTTAAAAAAACAATCTCATGCGAGAGAATCCAGATGTCCGTGAAAACACATTAGAATTGAAACTGTGTTGAGTTTTACAGTCTGTGATCAATTTCCAAAACTCGCTCGGCCGACATTAAACAAAATTTAGTTTATGACTCTTTTAAATTTCGGTTAAAACTCTTTTTAACCGAAAGTGTTTTCTCGAGTAAAATTCCCAGAACTCCTGGGTGGCTTTTTGGTTTTGGTTTGGTTCATTGGCAACAAATGTTTTATGAAACACAACATATCAGACTTTGAACGATAAAGTCCTGGACTTAACTTCCATCACTGTCCCTGTTGTGCACGGTGTTTAAATTTGAAGTTGAGGAAAACTTTTCTCACTGTGAAATAAAACACAACACAGGTGGAAATATGCAGTTTTTGCATTGATTAAAACTACAGTTGGTAACTTTAAAGGTCCAGTGTGTAGGATGTGTTCCATTTCTGATAATAGATCCCTTATATGCTGAACACTGTTCCTTTAATAAAGATAACTTTTCTCATATTTGCTCAAACTGTCACTTTATCCTCATAATAGTACATAAGTAGTGCTCCTAATGACATTCGCACGATTGTTAAAACAGTCAAGCCAAAACCAAGCGCTGTGGACCGACCAGAGAAAGAAATCTCACTTTACAGCTAAACAAAACAATAAAATATGTTTCTGAAAAACGTAACAAAATCTTGACTAATTCCGTTATTGTCTCTATTGCATCATTTTGTTATGGGACCAGAGTTTACGTTAATAAAACATTTAATGAATAATAAATTAAGCTTAAGCGGAAGTTCAGTCAGGAAGACTCTCTTTACATTCCTTTTCATTCATAAGCTCTCAGTCTCTCTCTCTCTCCCTGTGATTACTCTCATCAGCCGATTGTGGCCGTTCACTATAAATTAACCAACTCTCTGCTGCTGTCAGTTCAGCACAATCAGATGCGACCCTCCTCCACACCGGTCACCTCCAGTCGGCATCACAGTTCTGCTCCTCATTCATCATCGGATTGCAGCAACTCCCTTCATCAGTGTGTGGACTCCAGGGGGACTCTGTCTTATCTGACCTCAGCACCACCATCCCTCTATTATCCTACTTCAGGATGGAGTCCACTCGCCAAAGACTTTGCACTATTCAGATTTTATGCATGTGTAATAAATTATTGTTAAATTCTAACGAAGTCTCTCCTGATTTAAACACATTTTGATCCAACGTTTCTTGAAATCTTCATGTGTACCGTATGGTATAAAAATGAAAACAATTATATACCAACCTTATCTGGTTTCAAATAAGTTAAAAAAAAGGTTGACATCTCTTGTACATTATAATTTACTACAATGTTAATAGACTCAGAGAAAGATTCACGAAGCGACCTTCAACACATTAAAGCACGGTGACATGAATTACAGCAACTTTGAGAATTTATTCCCAAAGCACTTATAACTCTTCTTTATACTGTTGGCACAACATTGCGATAATTAAACATTATATATCATCTCATTCTTCAATCAGAAAGCACTGATGCCATTTATAGCTTTAATAAATCAACATGTCTTTTCTACGATACACTGCATGCACTTCTAGTTCCTGAACTATTGGTACTTTCCAACGTCATGTCATGAGGTTATATTTTCAAGGACTAAGCTCTGTATGATTGTAGTGCCATCATACTGTCGTAACAGTTTGGTAAAAATAAAAATGAATACGTGTTGTATTGTTTTGTATTCACCGTATTTTGACCATTTCATCAACTGTCTGCCATCATCGTGTTTGAAAATGGAGGTAATTTTACCTTGAGCTGATGTCACTGTGCAATGCGTCGAGGGCTGATCCAAGAAGATCATTCATAAATATGAAGCTGTCTCATACAAAGTAGGCACATTTTTTCTGAAAAGAGAGGAAGTCTATTCTTATTGAGCAGATCCAAATTGAATTTACTTCAGAGGTTGGAAACAGGAATGCAGCTGCGTTTTATTAAGCTGTAAAATGTTCTGTTAGGGCTGCATCTCGCTGTCTATTTCAGCACCATCCATCACATTCAGTAACTGCATCATGTACCAAGCCAAAGACAACTGAACGTCCCACAACACTTCTACACTGATGGTGCCTCTCGGTCCAATCCATTAAGTTTTCTCACATCAGGCTTTCACAACCTCTACTTCAGGTGGTGTAAAAACAAAAAAACAAAGCTGGCCCATGCTATAAAGGCTCATTAAGGCTATATAAACTCATTTCATGAACAAAATGGGGCCAATATTGCCAACAAAGTGCGGTCCAAGAGGCTCACAGTCAACCAGCACAGTGGTTTGTTATTGCTTCATGGCCTTCCACTGCTTTGTGTCATCACTCAGTCATATCGGGTGTCACAGTATATGCACGCAATTGCATAACTCACCATGGTTAGGACAATACAGACGCCATCGATCACCAGGCACAGAAAAGAGGTGATGATCCCGAAACTGAGGAATACGATCGCAGCCGTCAGCTGGAGGAGGAACAAAGAAAAAAGAAAAAGCATAACTGAAAGACTTTCCATACAAAGACGAATAACTCGTTTTATTTGAGGGTAATCGGAGCACAATTTGACAAGAATGCAGATTATAGCTGATTATTTCTTTCTAACAGACATAAAGGTGTGAAGGTATTTGGATTCAGGCCCCTCGCTCAAAAAGTAGCTTTAAGGGGTTTCTGTTTTTTTGCAGCATTTATTCACTGTTTTACTGAAGAGAATATTGCTTTGATCTTTAAAATGTATTATGTTTAAAGATTGTGCTCCCCTCTAAAAATGACAAAGACGTATTTGAACTAGAAGGGCGGTCGGAGAGCGCAAACCTCCCCCAAGACCAAACAACCTGTCTCACAATGGTAACGAAAATGAAAAAATATTTGTGAATTGTATCCGATCCAAAATGTAATAGGTTCTTCCCTGGCTCATGCGTCACCCTTTCACCACCCCTGTGCTTGCCTCCCTACACTGTCTCCCTGTTAGTTTTCAAATTGATTTTAAAATGTTCTTACATTTAAGGCCTCAAACAGCCTGGCCCATGAACACATTTCTGATTTGTTGACCTGGTCTGAGCCCTCTCCTCCAATAAAATCCGTGATGGAGCCCTGCCGGTTAGTCCCAGGTCACGGTTTGTGACAAAGGGTCATCAGGCTTTTGCTATTTGAGCAACCACATTATGAACTCAGACACACAGCGTCTCCAGCTTCTTTTAAATCTCGCATTAAAACATTTCTATTTGTGAAAGCTGTTGGAAATGTTTGATATACGTTATTATTTACACTATTCATATTCCTATGTATCTGAACTAATTCATTGTATTGTCTTTACTTCCTCTGTGCTCATGTCCTTTAGCCTTTTTCTCAGTTTATTTGCCTTGTTTGGTTTTATTGTCTTTAGCCGAGATACACGCTGCTGAGGGCCTGATATCAGAACAGAAATAGGATAGCCCTCTTTGTTTAAACTCTGACTCTTCCTAATCATAATGTTATTCCTGCCTATGGGAGCAAAAAAAAAACAAGAGATATGTGTAAGCACTCTGTAGCTGCAGACTGGGGAAAGCCTAAACAGACTCATTGTATCTTACACTCATTAATGCGCTTCAAGAATCACAATCTCAATATACCACATCTTGGAAAAATAAAAATCGGTGGAATAAATTGAGTATGAAAAATTTGAAATTTCACTTTCAAACATTATTTTGCACTGAATCGATTTCCTGCCATCTCCGTTATTTCAAATTTGTATAATGGCATATTATATATAACAGTGAAAGGGATAAAAACATGATACCAGATCCAAGAACAACCAGCCCTGTCCAAGAAGCAACAGAAGTCTTGTCCGTGAATACCATTATGTCCCCTTTGAACAGGATGGTCTGTTTGTTTTTAATGTTTCTGGTATGAAGTGGCTTCTGGCTTGATGCATGAAAAGTCAGGGGACTAAAGAAATATAGTAAAGGAGTAAAGAAATTTACAACAGGGATTGTGCTCTGCGGGTCATGAACAGTCATACCGAATCAATCTGGGAACTAGTTTTTGACACGGTGCCCATAACAGTAGGTTACATGGGCATGGACGCGCTCATGTTTTCCTGCCTTGCAGGTTGCAACAGTAAAACAAAGATTTAATGTGATTATTTATAGACTGAAAACAGAAAATGTGCAATTGTTGCCAAAATACTGACTCACCAAAAGTTGAACCTTCTTGGTTAAATCAATTGAGCGCGCACAGGTGATCTCCATTCTACTAATAACAGTATGTGACTTCTAAAACAAATTGGCCACACCAGTGAGGATTTAGGTGTGTCCTACTTAAGAGGGGTGAACACTTATGCAAACATGTATTTTGTGGAGATGCTCAGATATGGATTCTGATATCGGATATCGGTCTGATTCTGACTCAAATAGTTGGATCGGGTATCGATGACAAAAGGGCAATCTGGTATTGGATGCTGTTATGTTAAAAATGTTTACGTCAAGCCTGATGTTTCCATACAAAAATAATGATCTCAGTCCCTTCCACACAGTGAGGCATACAATGTATTAATTCAACACAGGTATCGGATCAGTACTCAGTATCGGCCTATACCCAAAGCCCAGGAATCGCTATCAGTATTGGGACTGAAAAACTCGGATCGATGCACCCCCAGTATTTTGTATTTTATACTTGGAATTAGTTTTGTCCACTTTGTAGAAATCTATAATTTTGAACTGTGGATCAGTGCCAACATAAGCTGGAAAAGGTATGTGATATACATAACATGTATAAATATTTGACATGACATGACATCTGATACGTGGAGGAAGAGATAATTAACTTCTGGACAGTTTATTGAGAGGGAACAGTTCAGGCACACGCCCTTACTAGAGCAACATACATGGTTCTTTGTAAAACAAATCAAATTACCTAACAGCCATACATTAGTTTACCGCTGTCATATATGCACTTTTGTTACAGTAACACTTTAAATAGTTTTACTATGTAAAATGTCCGCTGTTAAAAGAATACCAAAAATATATTCTGTCAGTGGTGAGCAGGTGAGAGTGATCAGCCGCTTTATACATTTACAAAGATTGAATTAACATTAGGAAAAGTTTCCTTATCTAGAGCTGCATTTTAAACCAACTTTTAACAGGTTTTGATTAAATACTGATGCCTCTCTATATATGACCCACATGAGTAAGAGAGAACATCAGCGAGAAGATTAAGATAATTCAATAAAGTTGTTCTTAATGGCACGAGGTCCGGCAAAATCAGATGAAATCTTGCTTGATCACCAGAAACTCCTTCAGCTCCGACTCCAGTGGGCAGAAACCAGCCAGCAGCGGACTGACCCTAATGCTGCCTAATGTATGTTTCCCTGGGTCAACAAAAAAAATGACCCACCTTCAGCCTACTGATGTTTTACTCCTTAAAACCTTCGCCCCTAAAATTTGCAGACAGACAGTTTTCTTGACTTTAACCATTGATATCGCCACAGTGGCTGAATGGATTTCTACCTTTCAGGCTACGTTTGAAACGTCCTTCGTTCTTTTGCTATTTTAACTGCAAAAGTAGCCCTTACCGATCTCTTACAATGAGGACACTGGGAACTCAGGGATGGCCCCCTAACTTTAGTCTAAACACCAAAAGCATCTGGCTTCCACTCAGTGAGGCAATCTTAGAATGTGGGAGTCATAATTGGAGCTTTTTTGCTGTAACCAGTAACCCCTCAAAATAATGAAGTTCGTAATGTTGAGTGGGAAGTAACTGCCAAACAGGATTAATAGTTTTGTCTCCCACAAAAGTCTGGCCGTTTCAAAAAGTCTGAGAAGATGAAAAAGAGAATTGCATACTCCTCATTGATATAATTCAAAAGTCTTGCTACTTGCAGAGCAGCACTGCTGGTCACCATGCTAACACACATACTCTTGGCCAAAACACATTACTTTGGGAGGTTGGGGCTGGATGTGCACAGGGAAAACATAAGGAAGAATTATGACAGAGGATGTAGGTGTGAGAACATACCAGCTGTTTGCGGTTTTCTTCCAGGAGGAGTCCCAAAAGTCCCAGGAATGATCCAAGGGTGAGCTGTAAAGAAGATGTGTTGTGTAAAATAAAGAAATATGATTCATTTTCATAAGGATTTTGACCCTTTGTTTTGATGTAGTTCTCTTCCAAGGAAATAACAAGATATTAGCACTTAACAGCTATACAAATGGTTATTGTGGTACAATTTCAAAAACATACATTACATTTTATGTTACATGCTGTTGAAAAGGGTGGTCGAAAGATATATAACAAATCAGTGACAGCATGGCCCAAATATCCCCATAGACATATCCAGAAACTGATTCTGGTGGATACAATTTGGGACAATTTACAATTTACTTCCCATTATGTTCTTCCAGTTTCAAAAAAAGGAAGAAAACTTGAATGTCAGCCATTGAAGGAAGAGGCCATGTGGATGTCTGACTGAAGCACAGAGCTGTCAATCATTCATTTCACAGTCCACCTAATATTATTTCTGTTTAAGACCAGCAAACAAAACATTTGGCCGGTGCTGTGAGACTAAAGGATTGCAGCTGAAATTCCATAATGTAACTCGGATGCTGCAGGATGTTTTGGGATGTTTTTAAACTCCCACCTCATTTACTGGTAGCTGCAAAGTTCAAACCCAATCTGTCATCTTAGTGTATCTCACTGAATAAACCATGACGGGGAATCATCGAGAGACAAATTAACAACTTACAATAACTCCAGAGGTGTAGCCAGTCACATTCAGGCTCTCTGTTTGAGTCGTTGTGTAGACTCCCAGCACCACCAACAGCAGGGAGAGACTGAGCATGCCCAGTACCAGCCACAGGGCTCTCCTGACCCTCACCATCATCTCTGCCACCCACAAAGGAGAGAGAGACAAGCGTTATATGGCACAGCGCTCGGTAAATATAGTCCAATGAACAAGACTTGGCAGCTTCCTACCTGCATATTTTTAGTTTGATGTCAAGGGTCGACAAGACAAACCTAATTTAGTTTGATTTAATTTAATTTAACTTAATTCAATTCAAGAAACTGTGATCCAAACCCTATGTCTCCGTCTTGTTCACTTCAAATGTCATGAATGTTTACGACCCAGCATATTAGAGCAAAGCAGTGTAACTGATGATATTGGTCAAATGCATCTAAGAAACAAACTCCAACTTTTAACCCTCAGGCTTTTTAAATCCCAATTTTTGTTTCTGTCTTGCGTAGATTAAAGACACGATTCATTAGTCCCTATGTGTATTTTTTAAAATTTACATCAAAGCTTTAATAACAGTGAAAAAGCCACAACGTCAACATACTTGCTGTAGAATATACACTGAAAAACATTGCAAAAATAGCATTTATTTACCTCAATTGGAAATGATTCTAAGGAAGTGGCAGGCCTAGAGCTGGTGCAGTAATCCTCATTTTAGTATAACTAATTGAGGAAAAAACGTCAAAGTGTACTTCTCTATGTGGAGGAATATTGCTCAAATATTCTAGTAGTACTGTAAAAGATTAAATGCCAAAATGTACAATAGCCTCACTATTTCCTCAATATTGAAGCTGAAAGAGACTCTTTGGTCATATACAGTAACAGTCAAACCAAATCCAACCTTCTAACACACAGTCCTATGATTATTACGTTTCTACAATGAAATTACAAATTTAAATAAAAACAGTACAACCCTCTGTAAGCTAATTATGAACACTAGGCTGCACACCATCTAAACATGTTTAGCACTCAGAGGTAACATACTGAGATGCACACAGGAAACAGACTACACAATTAATGATGACACCATTGAGCTTTTATAATTAATTTAAAGTGGGTGCCTTATGTCATAAAATACATTTGTTTGCATAGAATATAAAATGTGTCATCAGCCTCTTTGATTATTAGTTTATAAGTTTAAAAATAGGTGTATAAATAACAAAGGTTTATACGTTTCTTTAGGAACACCACCATGTAAAAACAACTCTGTTACTATAGCTACAAGTACCACATTAAAAATATGACTTAGGTAAAGTTGCTTATTAGCAACAATTCAAAGTACCTGAAGTAAAAGTAGTCATTATGCAAAAAGTCTAATTTCAGCTAAATATATAATATGATACTGGGTTACAATTAGTGATGCATTTATATAAACATCCGTAATGTTGTTGCTGGTAAGGGTGGGGATAATTTCAGCTACTTTATAAACTACTACAACAATATATGAATATCTATTAGTTGATTTATATCTTGTATAATACATCTAAATCTGCAAAGCTCTCAGACAAATGTAGTGGAGTAAAAAGTACAACATTTGCCTCTGATATGTATTGTAGAAGTATAAAGGTTGTACATAAATACAGTACAGAATAAACGTAACTCATAATTATGGTAATTAAGGTAACGCATGATATGCAGCTGCCAGTGTAACTGTCTCATGTACCTAACCACATCAACCTTGTATTTTATTAATTACCTGTTGCTGGGCTCTTTGGCTCTGGTTTGTCCCAGCCCGTCGCTCCCTGGATCCTTGCAGTCATGACAGGTCCACTCTCAAGTCTGGGTCCAGTTCAGGTTTCAGTTCAGGCTTACAAAGCTTCTCTCAAAGCTTCCAGAGGAGCACGGGTATCTACTGTTTGGATGTCAACTTCACTGCAGCTCTGTGCAGCACAGTCTGTATGCATAACGCTCAGGCCTGTGCTGCATTCAAGGACGGTCGGAAACGTAAGTGACTACTGCTGTCAAAATACTCCTTACAATTCAAGATGCAATTAAGCGTTCTTTTCAAATTATAAACATTTAAACCTGTGATTATAAATCAGGGAAACACCACATACGTTGGTCGTGGGCTGAATGAGCTGTTACAGCAGATTGAGAAGGAGAATGTGTGCATGGCAAGTGAACACATCTCCCGTTTAAAAACAGATGTTGATCAGTGGAAGTTGCCTTTGGCTGGATTGAGGGACAGTAGGAAGAAGAAAAAAAGCTGGGCCCCACTTGACATTCTCTCTACGAAATGTTATTCAATGCTACAGTTCTCGTTGCTCCTATATGTGCGGTATTTATTTAAACCTGTTAATTTGGAAATATACAACATGAAAGCACAGACGTGAAATAATAAAAACTTTAAACTAGAGTTTTTAGGTTCCAGGGCCTCAAGATCGCTTACAGAAGCAGCAGCAATGTTCAACGCCCCCGTCTTGTCAATTTACTTTTTGGTGCATATTCCCAAACAAATTTTCTATTTAATTAGCACAAACCAGATGACCGAAATGAGCATTTTGGGCCACTTGAGAACTGGAGCCTCAGGACAGTTGCCTGCTTTGCCCAGTTGGTAATTGAGCCTTGTCTGTATGAATAATGGAAAATGCACCAGGCAGCTAAAAATATTTGTTTTGGTAATATATCATAATTTCTGGGATGCACCAAGCTCATAGATGACTTATTTATTATTTTATATATTATATTATCTGCTTATTATCAATGATCGCGTAGCCTCTACGAGAGGGTCTAAAATCATACAGACAACCCAATCCTTAAAATAATCAATCAAATCCCAACAGCCAGGTGGGCATAGTTACAAGAAACTGGGAAGAAATTAAATGTGCAATAACTCTTTTTCGTTTTCTCGGAGCAGACAGGTTAACAAATAGAGATAAAAGGAATCCGCTCTACTAAGCCCCAGTTCCAGACAGCTGAAACATGGTCCACATCTTACATTCTCCAGTGATTGTATGGAAAATATACGATGTGGTCGTGCCCAAACTAAGTTAGTTACCAGTCTTTCTTCTCATTTTAAAAGTGTCATTTAAGAAGAGAAGGTGAATTAAATCTTTGAAATCATCTCTTCACGTTTTCCCTAATTTCTGTATTAATGGTATTCGGATTGATGTGACGACTTAGGACTGGACTTGGGACTTGACTGCCTTGACTTGGGACTTGACTTGGGACTTGACTTGGGACTTGACTTGGGACTTGACTTGGGACTTGTCTGTCTTGACACAGGACTGAACTTACGACTTGTCTGTCTTGACACAGGACTTGACTTGGGACTTGTCTGTCTTGAATTGGAACTTGACTTGGGACTGGCCTGTCTTGGCTTAGGACTTGACTTGGGACTTGTCTGTCTTGACTTAGGACTTGACTTGGGACTTGTCTGTTTTGACACAGGACTGAACTTGGGACTTGTCTGTCTTGACTTGGAAMTTGACTTGGGACTGGCCTGTCTTGGCTTAGGACTTGACTTGGGACTTGTCTGTTTTGACACAGGACTGAACTTAGGACTTGTCTGTCTTGACACAGGATTTGACTTGGGACTTGCCTGTCTTGACACAGGATTGGACTTGGGACTTGCCTGTCTTGTCGAGGGACAACATCTGACCTTGCTCCCCTCTCATTCAGAGGTTCTCACTTGGAAGTTTTTTTGAATGCTGACAACAGATCCTTTTAGTGTTGTACAGCAGCTGGTTGTCCTGTTCAGCATCAGGATCTTCCTGAGCAGCAAGCGGAACACCATCAATTTCCCAAAGATCAAAAGGTCAACCTCAGACCTCAGATCTTAATCACAGAGCAGATAAGAGCGAAGAGGCAGAGGTGGAATTGTGAGGAAAGCAATGAGGAACCAGCACTCTCGACTTCAGGCCTCGGCTCTTCCTCAAACAGGAGATACTGGACGGGTCCTGTTGAGTACCCGAGCTGGACTGACGACAGTGACTCTGATTAGGACAAACAGCCCTGGTGCTTGCTGCAGGATTGGACATCTCTAAAACCTTTTGCGCCTGGGATGGTAAGTATTCATTGGACTTGCAAAGGCCTACTATAGGCTCATCATCACAGAGATATGAACTATCTTACACACAACATACTTGTTTTTCTTTTTAACATTTTATATCACTTGCTTAATAATTTAAATAATTGTTTTTAATCTAAGCTGTATAGGTTTTTACCAGAGGTATGATAACAATTAATGACAGCATTAACAAAAGTCTCCTGGAAGCCCTAATCTTATTTACTGGTAATTCAAAGATTCTTTATGTTACTCACTCTGTTGCACTATCATGTTGTTTTTAGATATGTGTGGGTGCCTGTAACATACAGAGGAAAGGTAATGATTTTTAACATAAAGAAAAGTCTCCAGTGATTATCATTATCAGTTTTTAAGTGATTGTTTATCTTACTCACTCTCCCACCCATCAGGATTATACACACTGCATCAATCTCCCCACAAGAAGAAAGATGGCTGACACTCATGAGAAGGATGGATGACTACAGCAACAACTAAAGTGGTTGACTTTCTTTTAGTTAACAAAGTAAGTAATCCCCTCACTTAGACTACAAACGTATCAGTAGTGACATAAACTGGTGATAAACTAGAGTTAACTTTACATATGTGGATAATATGAATCCACTATTCATAATATCATTACCTTATTGAAGGCCAAATTTAACACAATAACTATAACCACTGTGTGGTTGTGTCCAAAATGATTAATTTCTTGTTTTTCTGTTTCGTAGGACAGGACTCCTCTACATTTTTAGCATTCCTTGGGCAACTAAGTGTGGACAAAAAAACTCACGAACACCCGCTAACATCTGGCTTTTTTCTTTGGAGTGAATGGTTACAGTCAACGTTTATTCCTGGGACAAATTATTGCAGCGGTGTCGGGTATTTAGCGGCTTCATTTCCGATATGTAGTGTTGGAAACATGATGTGACGCGTGTTGAAGTTAATAAATAATAAAAATACCTCCAAGATGTGGCTCTGTGATCTAAACAGTACATTTTTGGAGGATAAGAAATATCTCACAGGGCATACTCAGATGTATGTACTCACGTGTTTTGGCAAACCCTCTTATCACACCTTACAAGTAGAAGTGTTTGAGCTACAGCCTATAATAATCCAACCGACCAGTGCCAGTACTCACCTGTACACAGTTTTACAAGGACGGTGGCAGAACATGAGCTGATGCAGAATGGTGATAAGGAAACGTTTGGATCCATTATACTAGGTGTGGGTTTTCCCAAACCGACATTCTCAAAGCTATCCATTTTTTTCACCCATTCATGTCTGCGTAGTTAGAAAATGTTTAATGTACATGAACATGAACATAAAAACATGTAGAGAGCATCTGGATGAGCTGATGCACAACATGAGGTGAGGGGAGTGAGAACAAGAATGCTGTAATTTATCCAAACAATGTTCACATCCGTTATGGGCCTAGTTTTAAGTCAACACCTTCACATTTTCTTGGGGGAGGACGTCCAAACCCAATATTTAATAGTATCTTTTATTCACTGTAGAAATCCAAAATATAATGATGATTGCCGGGCAATACACACGCCAACATGTGCGTAAGGCAAGTACTTATTTTCACTTCAAGCACTGGTACCAAAATCTCCAAAAAGCTGGTTGTCAATTTTTGCAGATGCATAACAGAAAGCATCCCAACAAATTGCATGACAGTCTGGTACAGCAGCTGCATCAAAGAGGACAAAAAAGCCCTCCGGCATGTGGTGGAAACAGCACAGGACACTGTTGGCATTGAGCTGCCATCACAAGAACATCTTCTCGGTGTGTGATGAGGGCTAAGAACATCATAAAAGACATTACATACCTTGGACACCATCTACATATCATATCATAGTTAGTATTTGATTCCTCTCTATGTGACAGAAGAAAAGGCACACACAGTGATACAAGTATTACTAATTATTGACCACGGTGATACATTTGCTTTATACGGTGGTCGTATTGTTATTATTCTCAAATGTTTGTAACTTTCATGGAAACAAAAAGAAAGCTATTGCTTCTGCTATTTGTAAATAGTTAGTTGTTTATTCTGTTTTTTTGTCTTCGTATGTTTGTATTTCATTGGTGTATTCGTGAAGTGTAACATTATATTTTAGGTTAAGATTAAAGACTTCAATTTGTAGAAAACAGCGCCATCTTTTGTCGCCATTTAGACATGACGTTCACCGCACCGGCTAGCATTAGCACAAACATTAGCATTAGCCTATAACAGTTTCGTCCATTTTGTTTAGCTTAGCTAGACTAGCTAACGTCACATTAGCTAGTTAGCTGACGATACTGCAGCAGAGATGGATGACGGTGACGAGCCGGCGATAGTCCTCTCGCACAACACTTCTTCAGGCTCTAAGTCCGGCGGGGACAAGATGTTTTCCCTTAAGAAGTGGAACGCAGTGGCTATGTGGAGCTGGGACGTGGAGTGTGATACGTGTGCCATTTGTCGGGTACAAGTGATGGGTGAGTCCGAGGAACAGACGCTGCTAGTCTGCTAGCTTGACTGGGACACCGGCTAACGTAGCTAACAGATGTTAACAGGAAGTCTCTGGCATACTTAGCACCACTGTAACATGTTTTTTCTTTATTTGCAGACGCTTGTCTGCGGTGCCAGGCGGAAAACAAACAGGAGGACTGTGTTGGTAAGATAATGTCGGCAATGAAACGCGTTATAGCAGTGCTAATTAATCACTTAGCAGGTTAATCCAACATGCTAACGCTAGCTAGTTTAGTAGCTAGAGCTGTCAAACAAACCGATCCTGCCAGTTTATCACAGTGGGAGGGTTTTTAATTATTTGTGTTCGTTCTAAGTAAAGCCAAATGAGTGACATGACATTAGCGTGGAGATTAGCGTCTTTGTATTTTTAGGAGAAAACACTATTATTTAGTTAATAAAATGTGAGAGCAAATTGCCTGTTAACAGATTATTGAGCTAGCTACGTTTGAACTGCTGAACACTTCATTATAATAGAATAAATGTTAAAACTAAAGTAGCGTTAGTGTGAAATAAAAACGGATAACCTCAGTAAATGACTAACTATATTTAGTGTGAATGGCGCTCTACACTGTCGGTTATTATGACAGGAGATTTAGAGATGCTGGATCCTTGCATTGTAAACCACTGACTCAAGTTTAATACGTATTTAGCGTTTGAGCTTTTTGAGAAACGATTACAACTAGTTTACCCGATTGCAGATACACATTTTTAGTAGTCTCCGTGTGAGCTCCCTCATTTGTCATAGTCTGAAAATCATCTACTGAAGCATGACATGACATTAGATGGCAAGGATTTTCCTTTAGGAAAATAATGAGCTATGTCTTTAAACATAATATGAAAAGCACAGATTAATTTAAGTAAAGTAGTAGTATACACCATTAAAATAAACACGGTTGTACTTTAATATTCTGTGTAACTTAAGCTTTTCCCTTTTTAATACTCTCCCTATGTCCTCTATCTTCATCTTCTTTTCAGTTGTATGGGGGGAGTGCAACCACTCCTTCCATAACTGCTGCATGTCCCTTTGGGTGAAGCAGAACAACCGCTGCCCCCTCTGCCAGCAGGACTGGGTGGTTCAGAGAATCGGCAAATAAGCTCCAAAGTCCAGACGGCCTGAGTCTCAAACGACACCTGTGTGCACCCAAAAGTGGTGACAGACCTGACAATGATCACTGGAGCGTCCTGTGCAGCCACTGACACCGACAACTGTCGTCCTACTTATGAATGCATGTTCCAGTAGTCCTGATGTCTAAGGAGGACGGTGGACTAAATTAAAGCAGACTTGTTGGCCACTGAATGGTTGATGTGTCTGGAGGTATCATGGAGAGAAGGATGAACCTCGTTACGGTGTTTGGTCACATGTTAGCTTGACGTTTTTGTCCGTGGTGGTGTTCAGCACAGCTTGAATATGTGACTTTCTTTTTAAAAAATAAAGAACTGTATATAGCTGTAAACATGTGTTCTTTCATCCAGTTATTTGAATAGATGCGGTATATAATTCCTATAAACAATTGAAATTATGGATATTGGTATTAATGTAGTTCTACAACATATGTTGTAGTTTAGATCACATTGGTTTGGTTTTTTTGCTACTGACAAATGTGTCATCACCAACAATCAAAAACTGTCAAGTTCCAAAATTAGAATATAGTAGCAACCAATGTTTACTAAATTTCTCTTATTCTTTACTCAGTTTCTCATTAGAATTAGAATTTCAACACAGCTACTTGTTTAGACAGCATTTATTATTCCAGTAAGTTTGTCAAAACAGGCAATGTAAAAAGGGTTTGTGGGGAACATTGTTCATATTTTAATGTATTTAAATATTTTATTATCACTTCCAAAACACTAAGAAGGTTTATGGTAATGCTTATCCACTCTTTGAACAAATGCCCATTTAAAACATGAACATCATCTATGGAGTTCACAGTGATTTAGTAATCAAGCATGAATGTCCAGTAAAGGATCGAAAGTCCTTCAGTCACCTTAATGCCGTAAGTACCTTGGTAGTCTACGTGAACTACCTGGAAGGCGGCCATGCTAACCGCTATACCGCTAGCTCTCGTTATACATGTATGGTGAGGTTGGCCTTGTTCCAGTTTCACGCTTACTGATTCAATTCAATTGTGATAAAATGTAACTAAGAACATTTACTCAAGTACTTGTACTTAGCTGCTTAGTGATGAATCAGGAATAGATTAAACTAATAAATGTATAATAAGTAATACTTTGAATGGAGCCAAATAAAGTATTTTTGCTTTATTTGAAGTACAGTTTGCTGATAATACTTATGTGTATACATTGTTCAATTGCTACTTTTACTTGATTTGGATCTACCAAACCTAATGGGTGGAATGATTAACTATCATATGGGTGAATGTTTTCTAACCCTTTTTCTAGCATATAGAATGCATCAACATGATATAAACGTTTTGCTGATTTTCTGCACTCACATTTATGCAGTCTCAGTTCATCTGACAATTATATCAAAATCATTTGGTCTATGAAACTTAAAACAAAAGCAGGTCTATTGTAGTCAATTGCATTTTTTGTGCAGGTGTTCATGTTATTTCGTCCACATTCTCTATGCCAGCGATGCGGTTAAAGTGACTAAAGATGAAAATGTACTTTTCAAAACTGCTCCAGCTACAAATATATACGAGTTGTTTTGCTGAGCAGCTGAAAACCTCAAGTATGAGTATTCAGCCTTTATTCTGCTGACAGCTACTTCAAAAGTCTGTCAGGAAAATTGATATCTTAGGCTGCTTACTTAACCAATTAGGGCTCATTTATGCCTTCACTCTCTTTCCTATGATAAGCAACGAAGTGTGCGTACATATACTTCACGTATTATACTCAGACAGCTTTCTCAGTGCCTTATTTATCTCACTACAATCAGCCACAACTTGTTAGGGTCAGGATCTGCCACCTCATCATGTCAAGCTGGTAGCCTGTTACCGCACAGGCACTCTGCGTCTCCTAAGAATAGATGAGCCCAAAGCCTCTTAAGTTCAAACCACGTAAGTTGCTCTCCCTTACTGCCGTCTACGAATAAGCATGCAAAGACACTTAGCAAACAACAAATCCCTGCGGACAGTGGTACTTTTAATGCTACAAGAGGCGTGGCACAATAGGTGGAGGATGTTCAGGATGCAGGTGCTTGAGGGGCTCAGTTGTGTCTGGAACCTGCAGATGAGTGAGCTAGTTGTAGTTGATCAGGCCCAGCTGCCTATATGACGCAACATGGGTGACCTGCCGGGACTGAACAACCTGGTGGCCAACACGGCCTACCTGAGGGCTCAGCATGTACATCGTGACGAGCTGAGGAAACAGAGGCTCTCTCTGATGCTGCCTAAACCAAAGATGTCCTCTGCTCTCCAGGCAGCAGCGGGGAGGAAGTACGAGTCACTGTGTGAGCGACAGCTCATTGGGAGGAAGTTGTTCCAGCAGTTTCTCGGGGCCTTTAACCCGCAGTACAGGGTCGCCACTGAGTTCCTGGAGGAGCTGAGTGACTGGAGCTTTGCCGAAGATGAAGCTAGAGAGAAAGCCAAACAGAGCATCCTCGCAAAGTTCTGTCAACCTGAGTCCAGGAGTTTTCTCTCATACCTCACAGGAGAGGCAGCTGAAAGATGCAAGAGTTTGTCAGACAAAAACTTTGACGTTATGTTGGACCAGATAAGAGAAGCAACAAGAGACTTCCTGAGGGGGAAACCTTTCTCTGAGTATCTGAATAGCCCCTTTTTTTATAGGTTCTTGCAGTGGAAGGAGTACGAGAAGCAGGAGATCAGTGACAGATACTTTTATGAGTTTAGGACTTTGGGAAAAGGTGGCTTCGGCGAGGTAGGTGACAGAAATCCCAGCATCTGAATAAAAGTGTAGATTTCAGATTGCTTCATGGACTTACAACTAATATGCTTGAGTTAAAGTGAGACATTCAGAAGTTTTGACAGAAGACATTCTTTTTCTTACAAATGAAAAGCTGAATTCATGAGCAATTAAAAGCACCCGAACTCAATTGAATACACTGAGAGGTTTTTGTGGTGCAGCCTGACTTGGTCTGGTGTGACTTGTAGCTTTTGTAAGCTAATGTTAGCACACTGTATTTCCTCTACTTGTGCCACTATTACTATCGCATTATGTTTTAACGTTTATCATCATCCTGTAGTTGTTACACACAGCGGCCGCTGTCCAGTAAATGTTATATGGTTTTGCTTTAAAGTCCCAGCAAGGAGTTTCAGAAATATATTTCAGGATGACAGGAACAACAGACACTAAACCAAAAAAAACTAACTGAATAACACTGTTATAAAAACTAAAGTAATGTTTCTCTGTCTTGCAGGTGTGTGCGGTGCAGGTGAAACACACAGGCCAGATGTACGCCTGCAAGAAGCTGGATAAGAGCTGCTTGAAGAAGAAAGGTGGCGAGAGGATGGCCCTTCTGGAGAAACAGATCCTGGAGAAGGTCAACAGCCTCTTCATCGTAAACCTGGCTTACGCTTACGACAACAAGACACACCTGTGCCTGATCATGGACCTCATGAATGGTGGAGACCTCGGCTTCCACATCTACGAGCTCGGGGAGCGGGGTATACGTATGGAGCGCGTTGTTTACTACATGGCCCAGATAACCACTGGGATGCTCCACCTGCACTCTATGGACATTGTGTACCGGGATATGAAGCCTGAGAACGTGCTGTTGGATGCTAAAGGACAGTGTCGGCTGTCAGACCTGGGATTGGCTGTGGAGCTGCCAAAGGGCAAAACGATCTGCCAGAAGGTGAGTGTGCTGACCCGTCCCTAGATTAACCACAGTGCTCACTGTCAGACGTTTCCACTGCAATGCACTTTGCAAAGTCACTCCGTGGTTTGTGTTACGCCAAAAAGGCTCTTCACTCCTGATCATACTGTTCAAACAGAGAACAATATTCAATAGTTGCTCTCATTTTAATGCCACTACACGGTATATTTGTCCACCCACCACTACAAGCAGCTTACCAGGAATAGATATGATGGGTCTGAGTGCTGCTCCGACAGACAGCATAAGAAAGCATAACCCTCTGTGACTTAAATTAATCTTTTTAAAAGGCGCTTGACCTCATCCCTAGTTGGATACTGTTAGCTTTAGCTGGTTAATCTTTGCTCTACTAATACCAGATATGGCCTACACGTGTCTGACCGAGGAGATGAGTCAGGATATTCACAGCAGGCTCTCCACTCACTAGAGACGGGAGAAAGACTGAAGGATAATGTCTCCGTCATTTGTCAGCTGACCACCCCGACGGAGGCCAGTTAACGCAGCCTTATTTTCTGTCACAGTGTGTTATTGCTTCACGTTCGCATTTTTGTGTCTGTGTTTTTGTATTAATTTTATTATTTAATTTAGTTTTCAATCATGTGATGGAAGCTGGTCAAGAAAGTTTGCTGCAGTTAAATTAAATACCCTTTATCTCAATATCTCATAATAACACAACAGAATATCAACAGCTCAAATCTCCATTAATAACAAAAGAGGCTACAACATTTTGGATGGTTTACCCCGAACACAAACATTGAAACTGCATATGCTAATAATATAATGATTTGCATTATTTTGGTATTTGAAGAAATAAAAAAAAATATATATATATACATAACCCCCCTCCCTCCCGAATAACGTGTGTGCAGTCCTGAAGCAGGTAAAACAGAGCACAATAAATATACCAGGTGGTTCAGCCTTGTCCCTGGTCCCCAGAATCTAACCAGACCTGAATACCTTTACAGAAATTGTGATTATTGTTGAAGTTAAACCCCAGAAATATGGAGGGTGCTTATGTTAAAATCCCCCCTCACGCCCCTCTGTGTGTTGTCAGGCTGGCACCACTGGCTACATGGCCCCTGAGATTCTAAGGCAGGAGTACTACTGCACCTCTGTGGACTGGTGGGCTCTGGGCTGCAGCATCTATGAGATGGTGGCCGCCCGTTTGCCTTTCAAAGACTTCAGAGAAAAGGTGCAGATTGAGGAGGTGACTCGTCGCACTCTGGAGGACGATTGCAAGTTTGAACACAAACACTTTGACGGTCCCACCCAAGACATCATCCGCCGCTTTCTGAAGAAGAAGCCGGCGTATCGCCTTGGGTGCCGGTGAGTAAAAAGTTTAATTTTCCCAGGCACAAATTGGTCCGATGAGGTTGATACAGACCTCATGGAAGAAATCATCCATCAAGAAAATGTAGAACTTCTTTTTCACCCCTGAAAACATACTGTCATCCTTGAAGATGCAGTCCTTAAAGAGACAGGACCAGGGGTACAATGTTATGTTTAAAGGAACAGTGTGTAAAATTAAGGGGGATTCATAAATATGAACACTTTTACTGCCCAATCATTTAACATGCCTCATGCTGTCATAACCTAATTTTCTATCACAGTCCAATCATTAAATGTCTTTTGTGTCTTTCTTACAGTAGCGGCGATGAC